AGCAGTGAGGACTGGAACTGGCGCCCATATGGGATGTTGGCACTGCAGGCGGTGACTCTACCCGCTATGCCACAGCTCTGGCCCGGCACCTTATTCCTAAGGATAGTGATTATTTTTTTTCCCCATGGTTTTAACTGAATCCTTTCTGAAAAGGGGCATAAAACTAGAGGTTCCCCCCAAGCTTACTATTTAGTAAACTGCGAAATATTCAAACAGAGGCTGGCACTGTGGCACAGTGGGCGAAGCCTGCGCCTGTGGCACCAGCATCCCATATGGGTGTCACTTCTTGTCCCAGATGTTCCTCTTCCAATGCAGCTTTCTGTTATGGCCTGAGGAAGAAGGGGACGACAGCCCAAGTCCTTGGGCCCCTGTACCTGTGTAGGAGACCCAGAAATAGATCCTGGCTCCAGATCAGATCAGCTCTGACCACTGTGGCCATTTGGGGACTAAACCAAAAGATGGAAGATCTCTCTCTCTCTGAAGTCTCTCCCTCTCTCTGTCCATAACTCTACCTCTCAACAAATACATAAATAAATAAAATTTTTAAAAATTACAAATACATGATGGGATCATTTTCTAAATATGTCTAAAAAGTTATTATTATTACTGACTTCACTAAACAACAACAACAACAACAACAACACACTAACAATGCATTTTAGGGGACTTTGTATAAAGGATTAGCTTAGAATCCAGTTTCAAAGATTACTAATTCAATGTCACATCCAACACAAAATACTAGTTCTCAGAATGAGACTGTATTTAAAAGTCTGCTTAAGGGCCAGCTCTGTGGCGCAGAGGGTGAAGCCGCCACCTGCAGTGCTGGCTGCTCTACTTCCGATCCAGCTCCCTGCTATGGCCTGGTAAAGCAGTACAAGATGTCTCAAGCCCTTGAGCCCTTGCACACGCATGGGAGACCTGGAAGAAGCTCCTGGCTCCTGGCTCCGGACTGGTGCAGCTGCAGCCAATGCAGCCAACTGGGGAGTGAACCAGAAGATGCAAGACCTCTCTCTCTCTCTTTGCCTCTACTTCTCTGTGTAACTCTGCCTTTCAAATAAATAAACAAATGAAAATCTTAAATAAATCTGCTTAGATATCATCCATTACAGGTCTGAATTTCCACTATGATCTCATTCAGCATGAACTGTCAGCAAATACTAAAATAAAACTGCACCACAGTCAACAACTAGTTACACTGGATAAAGTAGGACATACTAATTTACCAACGTACCTTTAATTCTTCAAGCTTCTCTCTGATCTCAATAAATCCCAGGTGCAGTTTACCCCCAAAATGATCAGCCAGTCGTCTGTCATTATCATGGAGACCCAAATAGGCAGAGCAGACTTCACAGACTCGGAGTTTCTGCTGCTGGAAGCTGGAAGCTGGCATGGAATTCCGATAAACCTCCTAAACAAACGTGAGAAAAACACTTGTATAACCTCATAAGGCACACAACTAAGTAAAATACACCTTGTTGACACAAAAAAGTTTGCAATATACACACAGATGTCTGTTTTATCAAGAAAAATTACAGGATCCTGTTCCCTCTGTCCTGGACACAGGTTCACTGGGAGTAGGGGAGTCCAAAGGTCAAAGCCTCAAATGCTTTTTTGCCAAGAAACTACTTAGAACAGTTCCACATGACAAAGGTTTTTCATAACACTGTAAACAGCAGCAGCAGTGGTACCCATGCTGCACAAAATCAGGAAAGGATTAAGGAAGCAGACATTCTATTTCCTCCCTGAATGTATGGGCTACTGGCTTCAATCACTTCCATTTGTAGTAGGCATTGGGCAGGTAAATCAGCAAAACAAAGATCTCTCTCTTTCGCTCACATAAAAGTAAATAGTGCCAATATCAAAATACTTAGAGCAAAAGGGAACCATAGTTAAGTTCACAGTGGAAAAAAAGGCTACATCCTAATAAGAAATGGGGATAACCCCCCTCCCATATGCCAATTCAGTACCATAACACTACAGGGTATTCCCCTCTAAATCTAACCACGAGGACAAACCACACAGAGGGGAACTGAAGGACACTTCACGAAGTAACCTGTCAATACTGATCAAGACTGCCAAGGTCATGTGGAATGAACAAAAGACTGAGAAGATTTCTGACTGCAGGAGGCTAAATCAAACAAGGATTCCGAACCGAACCTCAAGCAAAGAAAATTTACGTTCTTTTATGATAAAGAACATTCTTGAGACAAATGGCAATATTTGATAAAGCTGGTTTTTTTTTTTTTTTAATTAAGATTTTTATTTATTTATTTGAAAGGCCAAGCCAGAACCAGAGGCAAAGAGAGAGGTCTTCCATCTGCTGGTTCACTCCCCAAATGGCTGCCAACGGCCGGGGCTTGGCCAATCCTAAACTAGGAACCAGGAGCGTTTTCAGGATCTCCCATGTGGGTGGTAGGGGACCAGGATCTTGGGCCATCTACTGCTTTCCCAAGCCACAGCAGAGAGCTGAATGGGAAGCGGAGCTGCCGAGAATAAACTGGCACCACAGGCGCTAAAACCCAGCACCAGCCCCAGGAATAGAGGTTTTAGACTCAGATTGATGTTAATTTTTGTTTTGTTTTGTTTTGTTTTGTTTTTACAGGCAGAGTTAGACAGTGAGAGAGAGAGAGAGAGAGAAAGGTTTTCCTTCCATTGGTTCACACCCCAAATGGCTGCTACGGCCAGCGCGCTGCGCCGATCCAAAGCCAGGAGCCAGGGGCTTCTTCCTGGTCTCCCTCCCATGTGGGTGCAGGGCCCAAGTATTCGGGCCATCCTCCACTGACTTCCCAGGCCTAGAACCCGGGGTGCTGGCACCGCAGGCGGAGGATTAGCCAAGTGAGCCGCGGCACCGGCCAGCTTTTGATTTTAATCATTGTAATGTGAGTATGTTCGAAAACACCCTTATTATATTCATTTAAGTATTTTGGAATGAAGACACATCACATCTGCATATATTTAGTAAAAAATATTTTGGGTCGGTGCCGCGGCTCAATAGGCTAATCCTCCACCTGCGGCGCCAGCACACCAGGTTCTAGTCCCGGTCAGGGCGCCGGGTTCTGTCCCGGTTGCCCCTCTTCCAGGCCAGCTCTCTGCTGTTGCCCGGGAGTGCAGTGGAAGATGGCCCAAGTCCTTGGGCCCTGTACCCGCATGGGAAACCAGGAGAAGCACCTGGCGCCTGGCTTCGGATCAGCGCAGTGCGCTGGCCGCAGCGCGCTGGCCGCGGGGGCCACTGGAGGGTGAACCAACAGCAAGGGAAGACCTTTCTCTCTGTCTGTCAACTCTCCTGCCAAAAAAAAAAAAAAAAATTATTAAGAAATATTTTAAACACACACAGAGGAGAAATACTGCAAATGTGGTAAAATGTTAACATCTGAGTGTCTGTTTGAAGGATACAGAAAAATTCTTTATGTGTTACTTTTCTGAAAATATTTCAAAATAAAAAAGTGTTTTTTAAAGATTTATTTATTTATTTGAAATTCAGAGTTACACAAGAGAGTAGAGGCAGAGAGAGAGGGTGGTCTTCCATCTGCTGGTTCACTCCCCAATTGGCCACAACAGCCGGAGCTGCACTGATCCAAAGCCCAGAGCCAGGCAGAAACTGCTTCCTGGTCTCCCATTTGGGTACGGGGGTCCAAGGACTTGGGCAATCGTCCACTGCTTTCCTAGGCCACAGCAGAGAGCGGGATCAGAAGTGGAGCAGCAGGTACTTGAACCCAGGCCCATATGGGATGCCGGCACTAGAGGCAGCGGCTTTGCCCTCTATGCCACAGTGTCAGCCCCCAAAAAGTTTAAGGTTTATTTATTGGGGCTGGTGCTATGTTGTAGTAGGCTAAGCCTCTGCCTGTGGTGCCTGTGTCCTGGCAGCTCCTGTTCTGATCCATCTCTCTGCTTATGGCCTGGGAAAGCAGTGGAAAGATGGCCCAAGTTCTTGGGCCCTTGCACCCACGTGGGAGACCAGGAAAAAGTTCCTGGCTCTTGGCTTTGGATTGGCCCAGCTCACGGCACTGCAGCAATTTGGGGAGTGAACCAACAATGGAAGACCTTTCACTCTTTCTCTCTGTCTGTAACTCTACCTCTCAAATACAAAGGAAGGCAGGGAGACAGGCAGGGAAAAGATCAAACTGGTGGTTGCTTTTAAACAACAAAAATTTATTTATTGGTGCTGGTGCTGTTGTGTGGTGGGGTTAAGCCGCCATCTGCAGTGCCAGCATCCCACATCGGTACCAGTTCAGGTCCTGATTGCTCCACTTCCAGGTTTCCCACAGGGGTAGTGGATCAGATGGGCCCATCTCCTGCTGCTTTTCCCAAGAGTGCTAGCAAGCAGCTGGATCAGAAGTGGAGCAGCCGGGATATATATCTGTGCCTACACGGATTGCCAACATCATAGGCAGGGACTTTAAATGCTATGCTTCAATGCTAGTCCCAATAAAAGTATTTTTAAATTAAAATCCACAAGTACAGACACTAAAGCAAGTTAACTTAGATTTTGTGCTTCATTCTCCCTTTGCTTGCTTTCTGGTTAGAGATGATATTGCTAAGACAAACTGAGAAGCAGGAAGAATGATTGAACGTAAACACACATGAAGAATAAAGAAGCATGAAAAATGGTTGAATGTAAAGCAAGAAGCAGCTGGCAATGTGGCACAGCAGGCTAATGCACCGTCTGCAGTGCGGCATCCCATATGAGCACTGGTTTGAGTCCCGGCTGCTCCACTTCCGATCCCACTCCCTGCTAATGCACCTGTGAAAGCAGCAGCAGATGGCCCAAGTCCTTGGGTCCTGCACCCATATGGAAGACCTGGAAGCTCCTGGCTCCTGGTTTGGTCTAGTTCCTAGCCGTGGGGACCATCTGGGGAGTGAACTAGCAGATGTAAGATTTCTCTCTCTGTCACTACCTTTCTCTTTGTAACTCTCCTTTCAAATAAATAAATAAATCTTTTAAAAAAAGAAAAAAACAATAAAAATTCAAGGAGTCACCTATGGCACTATGGAGCCACTTGGGGGCCATATTATTTAGGTACCAATCCCACATTTCCTAAATCTTGAGTTTTAATGAATGAACAGAAATCCTCCTCTGGTTAGGCCATAAGTTATGTTTTCTATTACATGCAGCTAAATGAAATCTATAAAGGGCAAGTAAATTTTTACTATTATCCTTACTAAAAATCAACTGATAAAATATGACAGGCTAAATAAAGACATTAAGCTACAATACATTATAAGTAACACTTCAGATGCAGTATAAAGCTTCATGAAGACTGTAAATGAGATGGTTTCAAAAATTTTGAGGAAAATGAAATTGAAAAGACAAGTCTGGGGGTGGGTGTTGTGGTACAGCATGTTAAGCAACCACCTGGGATGCTTACATCCCATTTCAGAGTGCCTAGTTCAAGTCCCAGCTCCTCTTCTTCTGATCCAACTTCCAGCTAATGCAACTGGGAAGGCATCAGATGATGGCCCAAGTACCTAGGATCCTGCCACTCACATGGGAGACCAAGATGAAGTTCTGGGTACCTAGCTTCAGCCTAGCTATCATCAGCATTTCAGTAGTAAACCAGCAGATAGAAGATATCTCTGTCTCTGTGCCTTTCAAATAAATAAATGAAAATTTTAAAGTTTATTCTGGCCTAGAAATTGTTGAAATATGTGCACAGGTTTTTCATAATACATTTCTTTAAAAAGATTTTTTATTCCTTTATTTGAGAGGCAGAGTTAGAGAGAGAGGTCTTCCATCGGTTGGTTTACTCCCCAAATGGTCCCAATGGCCGGAACTAGGCCAGGTCAAAGCCAGGATTTAGATGTTACATCTGGTTTTGTATGTGGGTGCAGACACTAAGCACTTGGGCCATCTTCTACTGCTTTCCCAGGCCACAGCAGACAACTGGACTGGAAGAGGAGCAACCGGGACTAGAAACAGTGCCCATATGGGATGTCAGTACTGCAGGCGGCAGCTTTATCTGCTAAAACAGAGCACTGCCCCAAACCCCCAGTGAGTTTTTAACAGAAAAGCCAAGTAGGGGCCCGGTGCTGTGGCGCAGGTTAATCCTCTGCTCGCGGCACTGGCATCCATATGGGCACCAGTTCTAGTCCCGACTGCTCCTCTTCCCAACCAGCTCTCCGCTGAGGCCTGGGAGTGCAGTGGAGGATGGCCCAAGTGCTTGGGCCCTGCACCCACATGGAAGACCAGGAGGAAGCAACTGGCTCCTGGCTTCAGATCCGCTCAGCTCCAGCCATTGCAGCCATTTAGGAAGTGAACCAGCAGATGGAAGACCTCTCCCTCTGTCTGTGACTCTACCTCTCAAATAAATAAAATCTTAAAAAAAAAAATTTACCTCTGCTTCTCTTTTCTTTGCCCGTGCTTTCTCTACTTCATCCATTACTTTCTGGGATTCTTCTACATTTCCTTCTGCTCCGAGTTGTTCCACCTTAGCTAACAATTTACCAATTTCTTCATTTAACTCATGAACACGTTCTGCCTAAAAAGAAAACAGAAAGAGAAGATTATGAATAAACAAAAGCAAATATGAAATTATTTCAGTATTACTGAAATCCTCAGAAAAGAATCACCCAAGGCAATGTGAGAATAAAGAGTGCACAGCCCAAGTGAACTGGTGAGATAACGAGTTTTCGAGCCTGCCTGCCCGCCGCCTTCACCTCAATGAGGTCACGCAGTATAATGAACATGTTTTCCAGCCTCTGCAGTAGGCCGTGAGCCCCAGGTGTAAAATGCCTTTATCTCCCATGATGTGGCCTTCTCTACCTTCTCAAACCATCTCTTGCTAGGCCCTTACCTCACCACAGTATCTACAGTCACATTTAGCTCACCAAAGCTACCCTGTTTTTACTCTGTGGTTACAGATATGGTTCCCTCTTCCTGGAATGCCATTCTTTATATCCCTTGTGTGCCTAGTGAATGTCCATTCCCTAAACAAGACCTAAATCAATCATCTCTTCTGTGAAGCATTCCTGAACAATCACCCTTAAACACGTAAGAAGAGATGGACTATACCCTCCTTCATGTGACCTTTGGTTTTTTTTTTTTTTCTTTTTGATAATTAGTTTAATACACATATTACTTTGAGGGCAGCTATCTGTATCACTCATCTTTACATCTCCAAAGCCTAACAAATAGCATGTGCTCAAACTATCACTTCGTGGAATGAGTCGGCAGATACCAAGTACAGCATTTAGTGGAAACAGCTTAGGAGTTCAACAGATGTGGTTTAGTGCCAGACCAATTACTAGCTGAAAATGAATCCATTTTTCTCATCTGAGAAACAGGGATAATACCTAACCCACAAACTGGGGAAAAATGACCAAATGTATCTTGTGTGCTGGCAAAGTACACTGCACAGCACAGCATGAGCTTCAGCAGACTGGAATGTCTTTCTGCTAGTATTAACTCCTGCTTTAAGATTTGATACGCTCGTCTTCCTTCTCACCACCATCATCCTGAGACTGCCTCATGAGACATGTACAGTCTTTACTTTGACCACAAAATAGTCACTCTACTGTGTCGTTAATTACATTCACAAGGTTTTGATCTGACATGAACATCTAGTCCCAACAGACTCTAGTACGTCAGTAACCTTTATTTCTCAAATTTCATCAACCCAAGATACTCCTGCCTTCAAAGAGATTCCCAACTCTATTATTACTATCCTCCATCCTGAGGAAAGTGGCATTTTCCTTTCAATGTGTCACTGAATGACTCCATTAATGCCCAAAAAGCTTCAACCGTCGCGGTATCTAAGGCCTCTTCCATTAACTGAGTACCACCACACTCTGATTCTGGACCTGGCCATGAATTTGCTTTGGTTATGGGGATCATAACAAACATGATCCAAAGAAAGACTTAAAAAACTACTTGCGTGACTCCATTTATATTTTTATAAATCCCACCGCCATACAAAATGACCAGGCTAGCCTTCTGAACGTGGCTCGGAGGCCTCTAGCTAAATGCAAGACATGCTGAGTAAGCCCAGCTGAGACAGGGATAGCTGCTCCCTGAACAGCAGCATAAATCAATGACTGCAGTCTCATGAGCTAAATAATACTGTGTATATCATCGAGTTTTGTGGTGGCTTGTCACACAGCATTTTTATTTTTTTATTTTCAAAGGAGGAGACGAGAGACTGATCTCCAAGTGCCAGTACTTTCCCCAAATGGCCACAGCAGCTCTAGTTAGGCCAGGCCAAACCCAAGGGCTAGGACTTCACCTTGGTGCCCTGTGTAGGCGGCAGCTGCCTCCCATGGTGCACATTAGCAGGAAGCAGAGCCAGGATGACAATCCCAGGACTCCTACACAGGATGCGGACATCCCAAGCTGTTCTTACGGCTGCTGTGCCAAATGCCCAGTGCTGTATAAAGAGGCCTCGAAACTTTCAGGGAAAATGTGTATTACTGATTATGCATGGATTTCAATTGTATTAGTTCCAAACTAAACTCATCTTCTAATTCCACTGTTCCCGCCATGAACTTTCAGATGTACTCTAGTACAAGCAATACAGCTTAGACTCCACACCAAGGATTTGTGGATGCTTTTCAACCAGGAGACATCCGCTCCCTAACACTGCAGGACACCCATCTTCACTGTCCTCCTCTTCAGAAGCAGCCAACTCAGAGCAATCACAGGCTGTCATCCGAGCTCTCTCTGGCCACCACCTTGCCCCCCATCTGCATTTTAATAAAATGCACAATTTCTAATGGGTACAGAATTACAGCTTAAAGTCTTAAGGCACGGAATCAACCAAAGGTAATACACTCACTGGAATTCAATGTACTTTCCTACTTTATGCATATAAACATACAAGATAACATTTTTAGTAGGTAGTGAATAAAACATGAAAAATACTCAAACCCCAACATTTAAAAGGCCAATAATCCAATTAGAAAATGGACATTTCACCAAAGGTGATGTCCAGACAGTAAGACGTCATGGAGAAAAATATTCAGCATAATTAGTCATTCAAGAAACACAAACTGAAACCACAGTAAGGCGTTACACGTGTCAGAAAATGTAAGATGCTACTCAGTGACACCATCTAATGTTGGACACAGACACACACCAGACACACACGCTGCTGGAAGGAAAGCAGAACAGTACAGTCACTCCAGGAAACCGCTGAGCCATGGCTGTCAACACTGAAAACTCATGCATCTTATGGCCTAGCAACTGCACTCCGGACACGTTTAATGCAGCTTTGCTGGTATTACCCAACAAGTGAAACAATCAAAATGCATGAATGATTACACTCAGATATATCCATACCATGGAATGCAAGGGGCAGACATTGTGCCACAGCAGGTGAAGCGGCCACAGGTGCAACCCTTAGCCCATACCAGAGCGCCAGTTTGAGTCCCAGCTACTCTGCTCCTGATCCAGCTGCTTGCTGATGCACCAAGGAAGTAGCAGATAAGGACTCAAGTACTGAGTTCCTGCCACACACGTAAGACACCTACAGTTCCCAGCTCCAGATGACAGCCTACAACAAACCTAGCTGTCGTAGCCACTTGGGGAGAAAGCCAGCAGGTAGAAGCAAACGTGTGTGTTCTCTCTGCTTTTCCAGCAAATAAATATTCTTAAAAAACAAAAAAGGGATCTAACAACTTGAATGGCTCTCAAGGAAAATAGTATGAATGCAAAAACCAATCTGAAAAAAGATTCATACTGCAAGATCTATTTACCTATCATTCATGAAACAGAATAATTAGACATGGAGAACGGATTAATGGTTCCAGGGACTAGGGATAGTAAGGAAGAGGTCATTACTGCAGAAAGGGATAACATGAGAAAATCTTGTGGTGATGCCACAGTTAGGGATCTTAACTGTAGTGGTAGTTAAATATGTGGTACAATTATCAAGAGCTACATGTACATACGTGCATGAATGACTGGTGAAATCTAAATAAAATAAGAATTAGATCAATGTCAATTTATTTTTGATTTGGTATTGCAGTTATGTAAGATATGAACATTAGAGTGAGCAACAGAAAGAGTACATGAATTCTTTTTTATCTCTTTGATACCTCCAACAAATCTGTTTTAAAATAAAACGTCAAAATATTGGGTTGGGGGTCGGCGCTGTGGTGCAGCAGGATTAAAAACCTGGCCCAGTTCGAGACCTGGCTGCTCCACTTCCGATCCATCTCTCTGCTGTGGCCTGGGAAAGCAGTGGAAGATGGCCCATGTCCTTGGGCCCTACACCCCCATGGGAGACCTGGAAGAAGCTCCTGGCTTCAGATCGGCACAGCGCCAGCCGTTGCGACCAATTGGGGAGTGAACCAGCGGATGGAAGACCTCTCTCTCTCTGCCTCTCCTTTGTGTAACTCTTTCAAATAAATAAATAAAATCTTAAAAAAAAAAAAAAGAGTGGGTTGAAAGTCTTCTTTGTACTAAAGAAATGACTGAAAATCTTACCTTTGCAGCTACTTCAGCACTGATCTCTTCCTGGGTTTCTGCTAATCTTTTCTTAGCCACTTCTGTTCTTCGATCACAATCTGCAATAAAGGACTGCAGATGATCCATGGCCTATAAAGTTATAGAAGACAATTATTGTCAGAAAACCAACTTTATTAAGATTTTTACTCAAAAACAATTTTTTCAAAATGCTACTAAGGAATTAAAATAATAATAAGTAGGTTCAATTATGAATCCAAAATACTATCAGCCATCGATAAAGCTGGAGGAGTGAACATAAATTCACAGGAAAGGTAAGACTATAAAGACACTGCCATATTGATACCCTGCTTAAGGAAGCACAATCCATACAGCCTTTATAAAAAGACCACGTGGCTTTTCTTTCTTCTTTTTTAATTAATCAGTATAAAGGCATGGTGGAAAAGGGAGAGAGATTTTGTTCTGCTGGTTCACTCCTGAAAAGGCTACAACAACCAGGCCAAAGTCAGGAGCCTGGAAGTTCACCTGGGCTTCCCACACAGGTGGCAAGGACAAGCAGTTACATTCCCAGGTGCATTACAGGAAGCTGGACTGGAAGCAGAGCAGCTAGGACTCCAATCAGCACTCCAATATGGCACCCTGGCATTGCAAACGGCAGCTTAACCTGAGCAGGTACTGACCCTAGGAGAAGTGGTGATGGCCAGATTGGCTGGGTTCCTGCCACCCACATGGATACCTGGACTGTCCCCCAGCTCCAAACTTTGGTCAAGTTTGGGCTGTTGTGGGCATTTGCAAAACAAGCCAGTGAATTAAACTGTACTAACAACTATTTCTGAAAAAGTAATCAGATATATGATGGTGGTATTGCCAGCATCTTAACCACAAATACCCATCCCTTCAAAGAATGACAAGCAATCTAACTTTAATAATAATCTGTAAGGCCAAAAAACCAACGAAAGAAAAATAAAATAGGAAAAAATATCTGCAAAGTAGGTCTGAGGGAAAGGACTACTTTCCCTAATATGTAAATATCACACATCAATTAGTAAAATACTAGAGCTGGAATTGTGGTTCATTGGGTTAAGCCACTACTTGGGTCACTAGCATTCCAAATCAGAGCACTAGTTAGGGTCTCAGCGACTCCACTGCCAATCCAGCTCTCTGTTAATGTGCCTGGGAAAGCAGGGGAAGACAGCCCAAACACCTGGGCCCCTGCCACCCACACAGCTTCTGCCCGGCCCAAACTCGACCACTGCAGTCATTTGGGGAGTGAACGAATGAAGATTCTCTCTCTCTCTCTCTCTCTCCTTCTCCCCACCCATTTTATCTGTCATCCTGCCTTTCAATTAAATGAAATGTTGTTGTATTTTCTTTCTGTTTGACAGGCAGAGAGGCAGAGTGGACAGTGAGAGAGAGAGAGAGAGAGAGAAAGGTCTTCCTTTTGCCATTGGTTCACCCTCCAATGGCTGCCCGGCATGCTGCAGCCAGGGCACCACACTAATCCAATGGCAGGAGCCAGGTGCTTCTCCTGCTCTCCCATGGGGTGCAGGGCCCAAGCACTTGGGCCATCCTCCACTGCACTCCCTGGCCACAGCAGAAAGGTGGCCTGGAAGAGGGGCAACTGGGACAGAATCTGGTGCCCCGACCGGGACTAGAACCCGCAATTAAATGAAATGTTAAAAAAAAAAAAGAGGGACCGGAGGTGTGGCACAGCAGGTTAATGCCCTGGCCTGAAGCACCGGCATGCCATATGGGCGCCGGTTCAAGCCTTGGCTGCTCCTTTTTCACAGCTCTCTGCTGTGGCCTGGGAAAGCAGAAGATGGCACAAGTTCTTGGGCCCCTTCACCCACGTGGAGACCAGGAAGAGGCTCCCGGCTCCGGCCATTGCGGCCAATAGGGAAGTGCACCATCTGATGGAAGACCCCTCTCTCTCTCTCTCTGACTCTCCTGTGTAACTCATTCAAATAAATAAATAAATCTTAAAAAAAAAAAAAGCTAATATTCAATATTAGCCAATAACTCAAAACACAGTTGTACAGTTTGTTAAGAAATAAAAATAAATCTTAAATGTATATAATATGTCCAAACTCACTCATAAAAGAAAAGCAAATTGAAAGTACACTTAAAAACCAAATGAGGCTGGAGCTGCGGCCTCATGGATAAGGCCACCGCCTGCAGTGCCAACATCCCATATGAGCACCAGTTCTAGTCCCGGCTGCTCCGCTTCTGATCCAGCTCTCTGCTATGGCCTGGGAAAGCAGTGCAAGATGGCCCAAGTGCTTGGGCCCCTGTACCCATGTGGGAGACTTGGAAGAAGCTCCTGGCTCCTGTTTTCGGATCGGCGCGGCTCTGGCAGTTGTGGCCAACTGGAGAATGAACCAGCAGATGGAAGACCTCTCTCTCTCTCTGCCTCTCCTTCTCTCTCTGTGTAACTCTTTCAAGTAAATAAATAAATCCTTAAAAAAAAAAAAATAGAATCCCGTAAGTAAGACCTTTGGGGGGAAAAACCATTCTGGGTTGGCATTATGGCACAACAGGTGAGGCTGCCACCTGCAATGCCAGCACCCCTACAGGCGCTGGGCTCAACTCTCAGCTGCTAGACTTCCAATCCAGCTCCCTGTGAACAACCTGGGAAAGCAGTAGAGGAAGGTCCAAGTACTATCCACGTGGGAAACGTGGATGAAGCTCCTGGCTTTGGCCTGGCCCAGCCATTTCGGCAGTCAAGCAAAGGACAGAATCTCAATCTCAATCTCTCTCTCTCTCTCTCCTTCCTTCCCTCCCTCCCTCCCTCTCCTTATCTCTCTTTAATTCAGCCTTTCAAATAAATAAATTAAATTTTTAAAGCAAATCCCAAATATTTCAGCTATCCAAGGTATCTAAAGAAGTCTTGATGGGGCAGGCATTGTGGCACAGTGGGTCTGGCCACCGTTAGGGATGCCCTCTCCCACATCAGAGCACCAGTGTCAGTTTCACCCACCCTAAGATCTGTCTCTATGTGTGTCTCTGTCGCTCAAACAATTAGGTCTTTTTTAAAAATTACTGATGTTTTACAATGGCAGAGAAATAGATAATGTCATACACTATTGGGGGAAGTAGAAATTGGTAATTCTTAAGAGCAATTTAAAAATATTTATTAAATTATTCCTTGGCACAACTACTCTATTTTGAGGTATTTGGTCTATACAAGGTCAGTGTGTGAAAATGACTATGCACTGTTAACAGGGAAAAACTGCAGGTAGGTGGCTGATGCAACAGTAAAGTCACTGCTTGAGACACCTGCATCCCATATCAGAGTGTTTGCCTCAAGTCCCAACTCCACTACTTCCAAACCAGCTTTCTGCTAATGCACACCCTGACAAACAGCAGATGATCCCACAAATACTCAGATCCCAGTCTCCCACATGGAAGACTCAAATTAAGTTAAGGACTTCTGACTTCAGCTTGGACAAATGGCAAATAAGTGAATAGAAGATGTCTCTCCATCTCTTGTTTGCCTCACAAATAAAATGAAAATTTTTTAAAAAAATTTAATTCTAAAATCTAGGCCGCCATTGTGGTACAGTGGGTTAAGCTGCTGCCTGGGATGCTGGCAGCCTATATGGGCACCAGTTCAAGTCCTGGCTGTTCCACTTCCAATCCAGCTCCCCACTAATGCTACAGGGAAAGCAGCAAAGATGGCCCAAGTGCTTGGGCCCTACACCCACACGGGAGACCTGGAAGAAACTCCTGGCTCCTAGTTTCGGTCTGGCTGAGCTCTGGCCTTTGCGGCCATTTGGGGTGAAACCAGCGGATGGAAGACCTCACTGTGTCTGTCTCTCTCTGCCTTTCAAATAAATCTTAAAAAAAAAAAAAAAAAAAGTTTCTAATTTCCATTAGCAAAATTCCCCGGATGTTCAGAAGTATAGACAGGAGTATTTTTACCTCCTTGTCTTGCAAAATTGTATGCATGCACCACCTTGCTGATAAGAAGTATAACAAGAAGGGGAGGTGGGGGTCAGCACTGTGGTACAGTGGGTTGGGCTGCAATCCAAGTAGGGCTGGCTCAAGTGTCACTGCTCCACTTCCAATCCAGCTCCTTGCTGTGGCCTGGCAGGGCAGCAGAGGATGGCCTATGCACTTGGGCCCCTGGGCCCACGTGGGATACCTGGTAGAAACTTCTGGCTTTGACCTGGTCTAGCCCTGGCCATTGGAGCCATCTACATAGTGGACCAGTGGTTGGATAATCTCTCTCTCGGTCTCTGTTACTCTGATTTTCAAATAAATAAATAAATCATTAATGAAAAAATAAGGGTGCTTGTCACAGTGATTGAGATGATTCTGAAGACAGACGCCCGCATCCTGTATCAGAGTGCCTGGTTTGTGTGCTGGGTGCTTCACACAGATGTTCAGCCTGGGAGGCAACGGGGAAAACTCAAGTGGTTGGGTCCCCACCACCCACATGGGAACCTACCCCAAGTTCCCAGTCCCAGCTACTTCAGGCAGATGGAGAGCAAACCAGCAGAGAGGACACGTCTGCCTAGCTCTGTCTTTAAATAAATATCTTTTTTAAAGTACTGGTAACGGGCCGGCGCCGTGGCTCACTAGGCTAATCCTCCACCTTGCGGTGCCGGCACACCGGGTTCTAGTCCCGGTCGGGGCACCGGATTCTGTCCCGGTTGCCCCTCTTCCAGGCCAGCACTCTGCTGTGGCCAGGGAGTGCAGTGGAGGATGGCCCAAGTGCTTGGGCCCTGCACCCCATGGGAGACCAGGATAAGTACCTGGCTCCTGCCATCAGATCAGCGCGGTGCGCCGGCCGCAGCCCGCCAGCCATGGCGGCCATTGGAGGGTGAACCAACAGCAAGAGGAAGACCTTTCTCTGTCTCTCTCTCTGTCCACTCTGCCTGTCAAAAAAAAAAAAACTTTTTTTTATAAAGTACTGTTAACGTTTACAGTCATCAGTGTATGATGTATGATCATTTTATGTAATGCTGATTATTATACTATACCCAAAAAAACAGTTTCACTGAAATGTCATCTTCTGTTTCTTCTGTTTGTTTTATCTTAAAATTAACGTCCTGGGGCCGGCACTGTGGTGCAACAGGTTAACACCCTAGCCCTGGGAAAATAGAAGATGACCCAGGTCCTTGGGCCCCAGCACACTCGTGGGAAACCCGGAAGAAGCTCCAGGTTCCTAGCTTCGGATCGGTGCAGCTCCTGCCGCTGCGGTCAGTTGGGGAGTGAACAAACAGATGGAAGACCTCTCTCTCTCTCTGTCTCTCCTCTCTCTGTGTAACTCTGAATTTCAAATAAATAAATTAAAAAAAAAAAAAAAAAACTCTAATGTCCTTACCACACCCTAAGAGTATGTGTCTGTGTGTGGGAGAGATAAACATATACAGATACAAGTAAATATGAATGTACAATTTCAGAAAATTACTGAAGAAAGGGCCCGTTGTGCACTAGAAATTAGTTGCTTAAACTGATTTTTCCTTAATCATTACCACTATGCTTAATTTCCAAAATAACATAAATTACGTGACTTTTACACATTTTCTTATAATAACAAGTCTCATACATTAAAAAGTGTTGCCAAGAAAATACATAATTATACTAAGGCAATGCTTTTCGTAAAAATACAAAGTGGATAATTTACTACAAGCTTTACTCCTTTAACAGGACACAAGTATAAATCAATATTCAAATTGCTTTGCTACTAAAATAATACAATCCATTAAAGCAAAACCACATACATCCAGCTCAAAGAAAAAATCCTGTTCTTTGGATGCAATTTCATAATCTGCTCTTAAAGCCAGGTCATGGACTTTCAGACATTCGCCAAGATCCATTCTCTGCAGGGAAAAAAAAAAAAAAGACATACTATTTTAATTATTTAAAAAGAAACACGTTTTTCAAATACTCATTAAGCAAGTACAATTCTCTTCAGAATATAAAGTTATACTGATGTCTTTTAAAAATTATTTTATTTACAAGAAAGTAATAATTACAGAATGAGCTATCTTCCATCTGCTGGTTTATTCCCCAAATGGCTCCATCCCATAAAGATGTTTCTTTATAATATTAACTATAAAATTTCATGGACAAGTATAGAACGTGGTACCAGAAAAACAGCTCCAATCTCTCTACCAGCAGATGGTAACAGTGACCGCTGTTGTACCTAGGAACAAACCGGGCCAGCGCTGTGGCACAGCAGGCTAAGCCTCCACCTGTGGCGCCAGCATCCCACATGGGTGTCAGTTCAAGTCCTGGCTGCTGCTCTTCTAATCCAGCTCTCTGCTATGGCCTGGGAAGGCAGTGGAGGAAGGCCCAATTGCTTGGGACCCTGCACCCACGTGGGAAACCTCGAAGAAGCTCCTGGCTTCAGATCATCCCAGCTCTGGCCACTGTGGCCATTTGTGGAGCGAACCAGCGGATGAAAGTCCTTTTTCTTTGTCTCTCTCCTCTCTAACTCCACCTCTCAAATAAATAAATAAAACATTATTTAAAAAAAAAAAAAAAAAGACAAGGAAATGCTTTCAGAATCCAGAAAAGGGTCTTAGTTCCCAAATGCATTTCTCATTTAATAGACAAAACTTAAAACTTTTACATGCATCTGCGAAACTGCTTAGATTTTTTTCTGAGGGCTGGTTTTGTGGTGCAGCACGTTAAGCTGCCACACTGGATGTCCATATCTTACATCAGAGTGCTGGCTGGAGGCCACTTCCAACTCAGCTACCAGCTAATGAGCCTAGGAAGGTGGTCAGAGATGTTAAAACTCCTTGGGCTCTGCCACCCAATGCCAGATGCCCGAACGGAGTTCTTGGCTGCTGTGGCCATCTGGGGAGTGAACCAGCACATGAAAGATACCTTCCCCCTTTTCAATCTCCCGGCTGTTCCGCCTTTCAAAATACATACAACTTTTTTTTAAAGATACTTCCTAAAAAGCTTTTGTGGGGGGAAAACTGAGGGGAAACAATGAGAAAGGTGGAAAGATAATCACAGACGTGAACAATGGATGATCAAAGCAAAGAAGAAATTTTAACCTGGAGGTAAACAAGCCTATACCCGCAGAGACTCAACCTCTGGAGGGAAGAGAGCACAGTAATTAAGAGCACGGTTAACATGATTTTCATTTTGCTTTTGTTACACAAACTACACATAGAATAAAAATACAAAAACCACTCAGAGAATTAAAGTCATTCCTGAAATTAGTAAGTTCCGACATTGTGGACAGCTGGCCCTCGTGCCCACAATCCATATTGGAGCACCTGTTCGAATCCCAGCTGTTCTACTTCCAATGCAGATACCTATTAATGCACCAGCAGAAAACGGTTCCAGTGCCTGGGCGCATGCCACTCATCAGGGAGATCTGGCTGGGGTTCCTGGCTCCTGGCTTCAACCTGGCCCAGTTCTGGTCACCACAGCCATTTGGGGAGTGAATCAGTAAACTGAAGATCTCTTTCTCTATCTCTTCCCCTCTCTCAACTCTGCCTTTCAAAATAAACAAACTGGGGCCAGCGCTGTGGCATGTAAAGCCGCCGCCTGCAGTGCCAGCAACCCATAAGGGCACCAGTTTGAGACCCTGCTGCTCCACTTGCAATCCAGCTCTCTGCTATGGCCTGGGAAAGCAGTATTAAAATGGCCCAAATCCTTGGGCCCCTGCACCCAAATGGGAAACCTGGAGGAAGCTCCTGGCTCCTGGCTTCGGATCTGCGCAGCTCCAGCCATTGCAGCCATCTGATGAGTGAACCAGCAGATGGAAGACCTCTCTCTCTTCCTCTCTCTCTCTGCTTCTCCCTGTCTCTGTGTTAACTGTGACTTTCAAGTAAAATAAATAAAACTTTTAAATAAATAAATCATTAAAGGGGGAGGCCCACTTTGTGCCAAGAACCATACTACTAGGTAATAGGGATAAGGTGCTAAGTGACACAGTCACTGAATTCACACAGCTTTTGATCCAGCTCTCTGCTATGGTCTGAGAAAGCAGTACAAGATGGCCCAAGGACTTGGGGCCCTGCGCCCATGGGGGGGACCTGGAAGAAGCTCCTGGCTTCAGATTGGCCCAGCTCCAGCCGTTGCAGCCCTCTCTGCCTCTGCCTCTCTGTAACTCTGCCTTTCAAATAAATAAATCTTTAAAACAATTTTTTTAAAAAAGCTAAGGACAAAAGTGTTAGATGAAGGGAAGAAAAGGTTGACAAAATGTGAATAAACCCATCAATCAACTGAAGAACTTTCGATTAAGAAGCAGAAATAGATTTGCTTTATTATGACCCACAAACAACTCCAGAGTTAAATTTTAACTTTCTCAAGGAAATACTATCAGAGCTTCCCAAAGTTGGAAGGAGTTTCCTCAGAGCTTGTTAATTTCCCAAATAAGCAAAAAGTTTAGTTTTCACAGCCATTTATCTAAGATATTGAGAGGGAAAAAGCATCAACCACCAGGCTTCCATGTATTCTCCAACACTGAGATTTTATGACTTTTTGTTATCGTTGTTTTGAGACGAGAAAGAGGAGAACGACAGAGAATGCATGAGTGCATTCCCATCCACTGGCTCACTCTGCAAATGCCTGAAATGGCAAGGGCTGGGCTGGAGCCAAAGCCAAGAGCTGAAAACTGACCCAGGTCTCTCACACATTTGGAAAAACTCCATCACTGGAACATTACACTGACTCCGGGGGTCTGCATTAGTAGATATCTGGAGTCAGGCGCTGGGTACTGAACTCACACAATCCAATGTGGATGCTAATCCAAACACCTGCCCCTGTGATTGTGTTTAAAAAGCACTGTTTCTCCTCTAAGACTATCTGATACTCAGCTCTCATGTACATTAAGAAGTAACTGGGAACGTGTATATAAACAGTTCCCTCCAGTTATCCCTTAGAAAATAATTAGGGTCACCCATTAGTATCGTACTATACTGTACTGAGCATGCGGAGATTTTTTTTTTCTAAGCCCCAATGCTTGTCCTCATTCATCAGTCTATGGTTTAACAAATATGGAGTTTTTGGGCCGGCGCTGTGGCACAGTGGGCTGAAGACCCAGCCTGGAATGCTAGCATCCCACATGGGCACCCGTTCAAGTCCCAGCTGCTCCTCTTCTGATCCAGCTCTCTGCTATGGCCTGTGATAGCAACAGGAGATGGCCCAATCTTTGGGCCACTGCACCCGCATGGGAAACCTGGAAGAAGCTCCTGGCTCCTGGCTTCGGATCAGCTCAGCTCTGGCCATTGCAGTTATTTGGGGGAATGAACCAGCGGAATGGAAGACCTCTCTCTCTCTCTGTAACTGTCTTTCAAATAAAAATAATTCTTAAAAAAAAAAAAAAATGGAGTTTTCAAGCAGCAATGTCAAAGTTGCATATTAAATAACATTTAACAAAATGTGGAGGGGGGCACATTGCATCTTAACGATGCCACCTGTGATGCCAGCATCACATGTGGGCACTGATTCGAGTCTTGGCTGCTCCACTTCCAATCCAGCTTCCTGCTCAAGTGCCTGGGAAAGCAGCAGAAAACAGATGAAGTCCTTGGTCCCTTGCACTCGTGTAGGAGGCCCAGATAAAGCTCCAGGCTCCTGGCTTTTGCCTGGCCCAGTCCCAGCCATTGCAGCCATATGGGGAGTGAACCAATAGATAGAAGATATCTCTTTCTCTGTAACTCTTGTTTTTCAAATAAATAAAATCGAAAAGAGGAACGGAGAGGAGAGAGAGGGGAAAGGAGGTTCCAGCCTGGTCCAGCCCCAGGTAGTGTAGGCATTTGGGGCATGAAATCAACTGATTGTTAGGACTAGCGGCTGAAACAGTTGCTGCAGTGCCTGGCTTTGGTACCCACTGCAGCTCCTGACTCTAGCTTTACCAATGCAGACCCTGTTTCAAGGCAATGGGAGGGATACCCGGATTGAGTTCCTGGCACCCAGTTTCACTGAGCCTCAACGCAGTCCAGGCCAAACCGTTCGGGCATTTGGGGAAGTTTTTTCCATAATAAAAAAATGTCCAACTTGTTATTCCCAAAGACTGAGTTTAAGTCTCCCGATGTTTCTCACGTGCAGGGTTCAGAGCGCTGTTCTAGTTCTCTTCCCCTTCTCTGCACAGATGACTTGCTCAGTACCGACTGACACTACATTAGAGTGCTTCCTCGGGTAAGGACCCTTCCACTCTACCACGCTCACCTCTCCTTTCAGTGCTGACTTATCATCTTTTAATAAGTCATCCTATGAAAAGTCTGAAAAAAGCTCTTCACAGCAAATACTCAAAGCAACTGTCCACTGCTTCTCTTAGTTATCTCCCTTATCTTTATTCCTCAGCTAGTTTCCAATCTGTTCTCAACAAAACATGCAAATTTGCCTCACTGTATTTAATCTACAGCTCAGTCCCTAATTCAAATACTCCGGCCCTCCTGTCCAACTATGTCTAAATGTACATCCTACAACTTCTCAAAAGAAAAAAAGCAACTATGTGGCTTAACAACAATATGAACACAAAAAGTAACATGACCAGACCAGATAGCAGAGGTGTATTTTTGGTGAGAGTGGGGTTGAGGGGAAGGTGTGCCTTGGGGAGTAAACTGGAAAGCAAAGGACATTAACCTCCCTGGAATGGAGCCCCACAAGGACACGGATTCTGACCTGCTTTACCTACTATGCTACACGGGACTGCATAGTAATTATCTGCTGAATGAACCACCGGCAACAGCACAGCGACAGCCAACAGCGGTCAAGCAGCTCCCACCGAGGCAGCCTGGGCTCAGAGGGGAGGGTCTTCAGCCTCTGCGTTTCCCACAGCGCCTGCACTCTCTTCTGAAGTGTTCTCATGTGTGCCTCTCCTCCAAGATGCAGACTACTTGAGCCAGTCGCT